CCAGAAGCGGCCACTGCACTCCAGTCTGGGTGACAGAGTGAGACTCCAACTCAAAACAAACAAACAAACAAACAAACAAACAAAAATCACGGGCTTCCTCCAGGTTGGGCTAGTGCTCTGACCTCAGGCTGGCACTAGGGGGCGTGCTGTTGCCACTAAGTGCTGAAGAGCGGCTTTGGGCAAAGTCAGGTAAGCACTCAAAGCTTTAGAGGGGGAAAGGGGTGACAGCCAAGGGGTTGGTGCCAGAGAAAGATGGAAAATTGGAACATGAAGCTGGGATGAAATAGAAGAAGCACACTGTTCATCACTTTCTGTTCGTTCTGAACTGTTCCTGTCCTGGTCTAAGGAGCATGCTGCTGCCTTCTTGGTGAGAAGTTAGCATTTTATATGCAGGGAAAGGGACTGCTTCACTCTAAACATCTTAGATTGAATTGAACCAAAGAGAAAGAGAAATTTCTTTCTTTCTTTACATCAAGATGGACTTAGGATAGATTCTAAAAGAGGCTTCCTCAGCTGTAAGGGTTAGACAGTTACCCAGGGAGTTACCCAGGGATATCATAGACTTTTTCCCACCCTTGGGGAGTTTTGATAAAGAGAGACTGTAATCTTCCTGGGATGGAGCAGAGACGGATGGAGAAGGTGACCTTTCAGAGTCCCACCTGGCTCTAGGGTTCTGGGTCTTAGACTGAGGGGAGACTCAGAAGCAGTCCCACATGCTACCCTGAGCAATGGGGTCAAGGCATTCTTTCCTGCTTCTCTCCTAGATGAATGTTTTCTCTTGGATGCATACATGCTAGGTGGCCAGTTTGTGAAGGCTGCTTGACTTTCCCCACACCCCGCCCACGCTACTCATGCAGCCACCCAAGGGAAAGAACTCCAGCTCCTTCCCTAGGATTATGGAAAGAGGACCCTCCTGCAGCAGGTCGGGCATCAGGCAAAGAAAGTGTCTGAAGCATGAATGTCGACATGCCAGGCTGTGCTAGCATCTCAGCTAGGTGGTTGGGTGCCTTCTTCACTGCTTCCCCCCATTCCCCAGGTATCCATCTCACCTGGAATGGGGCTGCACTGGACACTAGGGTGTGGCTTTGAGTCTTCCATCTCCAGTTGGAGCTCATCCAGGTCCAGGTCATCTGAGAGGAGAGACAAGTGATTTGCTGTCAGTCAAGCCCCACGTTCCTCCAAACCCACATCCCTTTAAGCAGTTGTCCCTAACTCACTCTGCTCAGTACAGGTCATTCCAGCAGCTCTGCACACCTGAGGGTGACATCTGGTCAGCCCCCTGTCACCCACATGTAAATTGTCTCACTGCTGGCTCTGAACAGCAAACGTTTCACCTAGACCTGCTCTTTCTAATACTCAGTTCTCTTGTGCCCTTTCCAGGTGGCCTTAGTCCACAGGGGCTGCTTAGAGTTGGGGTGGAGGCAGCCTTAATAAGGGGTGCTAGTGATCACATGGTTCTCCAGCTGTCACCATAATTCCATGTCCACTTGTGAACACTACACATTAAGAAGAACATCATTGTGCTGGAGTGTTCAGAGGTGAACCAGGGATAGTAAGGGAGCACAAGCCATTTGCATGAGGAGCAGTCAAAGCAACCAGGGGGTGTTTAACTTGGAGGAGAGTAAGTGGGGACATAATGGCTGTCCTCAAAGAGCCGAAGGTTTGTTAGGCATAAAGAAATTAGACTCCTGCATGCTGTTTTGTCCCAGAGGGTAGGGTCAGGATCAATGGATGAATTGTAGAAGGAGACAAATTGTAATTCAAATGGAGATGTTCTAGTTCTCCTGAGCAAGAATAAGTTTCCACAAGGAGAGCTGCCCAACCAAGGAGCACCCCACCTCCAGCAGGTGCACAGAGTAGGCCCAGGAGTGCTGAGTGCAGTGCGAGCACCGGACAAGGGCAGAGGAATTCAGGGATGAATAAGAGATGGCTCTGGTGCCAGGCGCAGTGGCTCAGGCCTATAATCCTAGCACTTTGGGAGGTGGAAGTGAGAGGATTCCCTGAGCTCAGGGGTTCGAGACCAGCCTGAGCAACATGGCTAGACCTCATCTCTACAATAAATCAAAAAATTAGCCGGGCATGGTGGCACATGCCTGTGGTTACAGCTACTTGGAAGGCTGAGCAGAAGGATCGCCGGAGCCCAGTAGGTTGAAGCTGCGGTGGCTGTGAGTGTGCACTGCACTCCAGCCTGGGCGACAGAGTGAGACTCTGACT